CATGCGGAAAAAGAATGAGAGAACGAGTAATAGTTATAAGTTTAAAAGGTAGTTATTATTTTTTGTAATTTTTTTTGGATAGTATCGATTACATCAGCCAGCCCTTTAGATGGAATGGTTAGTTCAGTTATTATTATAGGGTGCTTTGTTATGACGAACGTCTCTATGTATTTCATTTATTATGTAATCTATAGTTCTATACTATACTGGGTGTACTAAACTTTTTTTTTTTAAAAAAAAAAAAAAAAAATTTTTATAAATTCGATAACAGCCTTTTGCGTACTATGATTGGTTCAAGTTTATTTGCAGTATAAAAATTTAATTATTCAAGTCATAAAAGCTCAAGTTGAGTCAAATTTTTTCAAATTTTACATTCCATCACGTGAGATATGATTTTCCAACCTATTCAATAAATCTTATTGAGTTATTGGTCAGATTTGTTTACTGTGCCCCCAAATTATTAAGTTGTCCAACATTACAAAGAGAAATTGTGAGATAAACAAATAAATTCATTTAAAATACTCGGAGAATACAATTTTTTTTTTCAATTTTCTAAAAAAAAAATGACAGAAAATTCCAATATAAAAGATTTGGATTATATTAATTGGTTAGATAATTCGATATCTGAAGAACATATCAAATATTATAAATATTCAGATTTCACTAATTTTAAACAAATAGGAAAAGGTGCATACGGAAACGTTGTTCGTGTTAATTGGAAAAATTATAATCGTCTTTTCGCTTTAAAATCTTCTATTAATGATGAACATACTCTTGAGGAAGTTGTAAAAGAGGTAAAATTCGGTTGATTTATTAAAAAATTTTTTGATTAAATAAATATAATACTAATATTTCTATAGTTAAAATTGCTTCGGAGTGTTAATAATCATGAAAATATTATAAAGTTATATGGAATCACAAAGGTGGAAGGTGAATATCAAAAGTATTATACAGAACCATGTACTAATCTATTTTTTTTTTGTTAGTATATTAAAAATATTTTTTTTTTTTTTATTTAGATACAGCTCATCAAATAAATAAATATTCTTTAGTTTTGGAATATGCTAATAATGGTACACTGAATACTTACTTAAACAAATGTTTCAATAAACTTGATTGGAATGACAAATATCACTTAGCGTTACAATTAACAAGTGCCGTAGAGTTTTTACATGAAGAAGAAGTTATTCATCGTGACCTGGTAATTTTAATTATAATTTGAAATTTAGCAAATTTATTGAAATATACATTTATATTAATTTTTTTCTTATAATTAAAGCATGCAAACAATGTACTTGTACATCAGAATAGTATTAAATTAGCAGATTTTGGGCTGTCAAAAAAAATTGATGAAGCATCGAATAGCCAATCAAAAATACTTGGTGTAATACCTTATGTTGATCCAAAAAAATTCAACGATCCAAATAAAAATTATAAATTAAATGAAAAATCTGATGTATATAGTATTGGAGTTTTATTATGGCAAATTTCAAGCGGGTGTGAACCATTTAAGAATAAAGGTTATGATTATGATGCAAGCTTAATGTTGTCCATATTAAATGGTAAAAGGGAAGAAATAATTTATGGAACACCCGTTGAGTATAATAAATTATATACAGGTAATAATATATTGCTCCCATGGTCATTTTTAACTGATTATGTATTAATCTATTTAATTCCTAGAATGCTGGAAATATGAACCAAATGAACGTCCAAACATGCAGGAAGTTGTTTTAGCCCTTAAGGCAATAATTTCTCCAAACCAAAATGATACAATTTTTGATAATATTAATGAAAAGGAAGAACCAGAAAAACATAAGTCTGTTTCAGACTTAACTATAGATCTAAACAATAATTTAATAAATGTCAGATCATTAAATATTAATGAATATGAAAGTAGAGTGATAGAGGAGCCTGAAAATAGCTTTTCAAGTGCATCAAATAAAGCAGGATCATCAATAGATGATACATACTATCATTATAAAAATCACTCTTTTTTCAAACAAAAAAGCAAGGAAATTATAAGTAACATTTATGAAAAGAAAGAAATAGAAAAATGTGAATCAACTTCAAAGGTAATTAAAGGAACTGCAAATAATGATTTGACAAATGATTTTGAATCATTAAATATTGATGAATTTGAATACAAAAATGAAGTTATGGCAAATTTTAAAAATAGTTCACCAAGTTTATCAAATCAAGCAACAGAACTATCAACAGAGGATATTTATAAAAACCAACTACTTATTAAACTAGAAAGTGAAGGATTTATTACACCAGATGAAAAAGCAAGAAAGCTTGTAAAGGAATTAACTGAGCCGAAATTTTTATATGCTCTAAAGTTACTTTTTGAAAATTTACAGAATAAATTTTCATCCCAAATATTAATAAACTCATTAAAATCATTAGCAAATCCTACTCTATTTGATTTTTATTCAGAAGAAAATGTAATGAGATTGGAATTACATTTACGGGTCTGGATAGCTGTTTTAGAGCGTATACAATTTTCAAATTCACCAATAGTTCTTAGTAAAGATCTTTTAGATAAAGTTTGCAATTCCCTAGCAAAATTTGCAGGAATCTATTATAAAGCAATACAAATTATTGAAAGGTCAAATTTCAATCAACAAAGGAATAAAAGTTATAATTATAACATTGACTTTTTATTAATTTATTTGCGAGATACTTTACATAGTTTATATGATGATAAACCTTGGTTCCAAGATCTTTTAAGAAGAATTAAAGATTTGTTAAATACTATTTTCAATATTACAACCTCATCTAAAACTACTATTTCAAACGAAAACTGTTCAGTATTATCAATGATTACTCAATTACACAATGATTTAAGTTTTAAGTATTTAGTACCATCCTATTATATTGATTGGAGAATTATGTTGATAATTCAACATAATCTTTTTATCTGGTCTGAAGATTCTGAAAAGGTAATCAATAAAAAATTTGGAGAGATGATATTAATAGAACATATTTGGAGTTTTTTGGAAAGAGAATGGACCAATATTGCTGATAAATCTGTTTTAGATTCTCAAGTAAAATTTGATATAGTATCAGATAAAGTCGCAAGAGCATTGAAAAACACTGGAAGTTTTTTAAATGATTTTACTGGAAATGAGCCACTTGCATTACCACATACTTTATGGTTCGGACTATTGGATCTTGTACAAAATCTTATCCAAAAATCTACTCGCATGGCAACATATGGTCTTTGTTATTATATGGCAATTGAATCACTTAATAAAGCTCCAAGTGAATTTATTCAATTTAAAGCAATTGAAATTTTATTATATTTACAAAATATTGATAATCAAATGTTTTCAATGATTGAGGATGATTTTAATCAATATATTCAGAAATTGAATAAAATTAATTCGGTAAAATTTCAAAATTTATTAATATTTGTTAAAGAAAAATATCTTGAAGATTATAAAATTCTAATTGATACTGGAAAAGGAAAAGAAAAAGTGTTGGTTCAAAAAAACTTATATTTAAAAGAAAAACAAACAAACTCATACAATATTATAGATGTGATAGCAGATGAAATAACTTGTCCAATTAGCAGTGAACCAACAGATCAATTATGCATTTTAAAATGTCAACATATATTATCATTAAGTAATTTAAAAAAATTAAAGCAAAAAAAATGTCCTATATGTCAAGGAAAACTTGAAAATAATGATATCAGATATTTACCACAGGATACCATTTATAAAAATCTATATTCCAAATTTTTTGAAGGTGGACACATTTTACCAACCATTGAATTAGAAGATTCGAAACAAATAACAAATGGTCAATATGATAGTGATACTAATTCAGAAGTCGATCTTATATTAACGAAAAAGAAGAAATTTATGAAAGCAATTAAATTGAACTCAAATATATTTTCATCAATATTTCCAAAAGTTTCAAGAAAGCAACATCCAATATATCAAAGCATTATAAAAGAATTAAATGGAAAATATTATCGAAAAGCTGAATCATTGTGTAAAGAATATTTAGAACTTTTCCCTAAAAGTTATTCTGTAAGATGTATTTTAGCTTATATTTATAGATGTCTTAATAATTATGAACAAGCACATTTATATTTAGAAGAAGCTATTAAATTAAAACAAAAACAACCAATTGCATATTTTATTTATGGAGATATATTTTTTTGGCAAAGTGAATATGATAAAGCAATAAATAATTTAAATATATCATTAGAATATAAAGTCAAATCAATCATTAATTTTCCGTATATAATACTTGGAAATAGTTTTTTAAAAAAATCCCATTATGATAATGCTTTAAAGAATTATGATGTTGCATTGAAAAATGATCCAAATAATAATTTGTGTCTTAAGAATTGTGCGTACGTTTTTGAAAAACAAGGAGATTATATAAATTGTTTAAATGTATTGGACAAATTGTTAAATATTAATGATAAAGATTCATTAATTTTATGTTATTATGGAGAAATTCTTAAAAATTTAGGAAAGTATAATGAAGCAGTGGCATATTTTACAAAAGCAAATAATATAGACCCAGAAAATATTCATAATTTGAATAAAAGAGTTATTGCATATTTTGTTCTTCAAGAATATGATAAAGCTTTACTAGATATTGATAAAGTTATACAATTAGATCCATCAAATAGTTTAGCATATTATAATAAAGGGTTAACATATTATACAATGGGAAATAATGAAAATGCCATAATAGCTTTTAAAAGATGTATAGAATTGGATTCTGATGATAATTTATCAAAAATGCAATTATATTATGTGGAATATTCACAAAAGAATGATTACAAAAATTTAAAATATGATGTTATAACAAAAGTCGGTCAAATTCCAAATATTGATAATGACAATTCATTACTTTTTATGAAATGTAAATTAAATATTGAATTTGAACAATATGATGTGGCGATGATAGATTTAAGTAGATTGTTTTATAATTATAAAGAAATTTCATTTGTTTATTTATTACAAGAATATCAAGGTTTCTGGTCATACTTATATAAAGTTTATAAAACTAATCATGATTATTTTGTTGAATTTGGAATTGTTGATAAATTTAATAAGTACATGTACACAGGTAAGAGAATATAATAATACTTGAAAAAATATTACTATTTGGATGATAATTAACATATTTAATGATTTTTTAGTAGCGAATGTTTATTTTATTTCAAACTTTACAAATGTTAATAATGAATTTCATCAGTATCAAATAAATGATACAAATAGGTAAGGTTTGTTTATAATTGATTTATTAAATAATTACATAAATTAATTTTATTACTTTAAAAAATTCAAGTTTATCGGGACGGATACTATCTTTTGAGAATAAGGCATTTAATTTTAGTTTACCAAGATTACCAAAACTACTCCAATTTTTTACAACTTGGCGTTGTATTATCTGGAAAATAAATGTTATAAAGATACTATCTAAAGATTGTTCTATTAAATTTATAGTTAACCAAGAAACAGTAAGTTTTAATAAGCTATAAGAATTTTTTTTCCTAAATATTGCTTTTAATTAATGAATTTAATTATAGGATTCTAAATCTATTCGGAATGTTCACATTTTAAAATTTCAAGATTTGTCAAAACTTGAAGGATTAGGTTGGATTGAATATTCTTTTAAAATATCTAAAATACCTGAAATCAATACAGGAAAATGGTGGTTACAACCTTCAATTGAAGTAAATGGCTTTATTAATATGGTATACATTTTTTATCTACTATGTTTAATTAAAAGTTGATCTCAACAACTTATATTTTCTAATATGTATATATTTATATATTATGTAGCAAATAGATTATATTCGATTTATGTATGATAATTATAGGAAAGAAATTTATTTTCCTAAAATGGGACATCTATTGCCAATTCACAAAATTCGCCCAAATGTTCCAGAAGCTTTTAAGGACAAGTATTTTTCAAGAAAGGAGATGGAAAACCTGCTTGAATTAAAAGATATAATTGACAATTTATGATTATTGTGTATTATTTATTATAAATAATATATTTTAGTACTAAATATACTTTATTTGATATTTTCTTATAAAATATAATCTTCCAGTTATTTAATCTATAAACGATAAGACCTATTATAGTATGATAGCGTAAATATAAAAACACAGGAAGCCTACTCTTCATGACATATTATATTTTTCCTATTATTCATTAATTACCAAATTCTTTTCTATTCCCATTCATTAAACAATAAAATTTATGGAAAAAACCACTTTGAAAAGCTGCGTTAGCTTGTACAGTGTACTCCGTAAAATATTTTTCCGCTCCACTTGTTACGTTAAATTTATAATTTCTCCTGATAAATTTCAAAGGAATTTCATATCTTTGTTTCGTTAATTGCAAACTGCAACATATTAAGTAATATAGCGCAAAAAAATTATTTTTAAGATTTTAAAGATTTATAAATTGTAAGATCATGTCTCTTTAATTGATGTTATCCGGATTTTCTTTTATGATGTGGATAGCTTTAATATAATACGTTATAATTTATATAGAACAAAAAAATAATTATGAAATTAAGTTAAAGCCTTGAATTTTCATGTTACATTGAAGTCTTGTAATCTTTTGATATGAACAAGAACATCAGGTATTATTGTGCGTTCCAAAATAGTATAACCTGCTTTTTTTTCATAATTGCAAATATACAAATTAGTAAGAGATACAAATGCTGAACAAAAAAAAAAAAGAAAAAAAAAGAAAAAATTTAACAATAAATAAATAATTTATTATTAGTTGATTTTAATATAAACAATATATATAAGGTCATGCAAACTTAATTTTTCGGTTCTCATAACATAACAATTTTGAAAATGACCTGGCAACACGGCTTTTAATTTTTTCAAAAAATTTTATACAAAAAATCTTACCCGGTATAATAATATATAAAATTTTTTTTTTTTGAGATTTAACAAAAACTGACCCGGCCGGGATATGAGAACCGAAAAATTAAGGCCTAATGCTACGACCATTTCTCTCATAAGTAAAATCAGCACGTATATTGACAGTATATAAAATTCTATTACTTCATCATCACTAATCATATAAAAAGTATAAAAGCGGTTATTTTTATCTGTCACGTAAATCACATGATACACAGTGAAATTCGATAAACCGGATCTTCGATAAACCGGATTTGGCCCTAAACCGGACTTTTTTGCTGGAACCAAATTACGTATATTAAAATAGTTTCGATATACCATTTGTATTCGCTAACTATTACTGTTAAATAAAAATAAAAATAAAAAGTTTCGATATACCGGAGTTTACTAGTAAAAGCTCGATATTCGATATAACGGATCAATTTTTTAACCAACTATAGTAAAAATGATTCGATAAACCGGATCACGTGATCATTACCCAATAAAATTTAAGTAACGTTATGCGGTAAATCTTAATTTTGGCCAGAATTATAAAAATCTTAATTCCGGCCGAAGTTATATATTACTTATATATTCAATTGAAAATATTTTATATTAATTTTCAACTTAAAACTAAGATGAAAAATTAAAATATAGTGTATATTAATTTTATTAGCATGAATTCTTTAAAAAAATTCAGTATAATAGATTTCCAATATATCGAAATTTTTTCGCTATACCGGATATCCCGATAAACCGGATATTTTTAGTGGAACCGATAGATCGGTTTATCGAATTTCACTGTGTAGTTTTTAAATCATGTGATGTATGGTTTCCAGATTTCGACACTCTCGCGGAATTTTACAAAGAACTAAATTACCGTTACGGAAGTGTTTCTTATTGTATTAGTATAATATACCTTTTTATTATTTTATTTATTAAAGAATATATTTAAAAATTAATTGAATTTTATCAAATACTTATAAATCTCATTGCATACAATTTTTATTATTCTCAATAAAATGTATTTCTAGTCTTATCTTTATATAATCTTGGCAATATTAATCGTTCATATTCTTCTAGTATTTGACAGATCATTTGCTTAATAAAATTAGCCGAGACAAATTAGCAGGAATGTCTAAACAATAATGAGTCTAAAATAAAGAAAATTATTTATTTATTATATTAGTTTTAGTCAACCAGTTGAAAAATAAATCTCTTACTTCATCTAATAATGTCTTAAACTTAATTTTCATAGTTTCGCAACACACTTCACAATCATTATCAATGTTTCTATCTTCATCAACTTTATCTTGCAACTTGAAACATGAAAGATATTTGGTGATTTTGCTGATAACTGAAAATTAATGAAGTTATGATTATATGCGTGAATTATTATTATTTTTTTTTAAAAAAAAAAATAAAAATAAAATAGATAAAAGCTTTACATAAATTTGTTATTTTATTTTAATACACAAATTTTTAATTATAATGGAAATTTGGACATCTTAATGTTCAAATATGCCTGTTTATTATTAGTATTGGGTTAACTTAACAATAACTGAAATGATATTGTAGCTTACATTGTATTAATTGATAAAGAAATGCATTGTTAATTAAAAGCAAAAAAGAATTTAGTGAAACTCTAGTGAAACGTAACATTAGTACAACATGATTTGTTCGATAATAAATTTAAACTATAAAGGTTTAAGAACCAACATTTAATAATTACGTCAAATTACTAGGGCTATTTATCATGCCAGAACTAGTTAATATATATTATTTTTTTTTTTGTAAAATTTATATATGGATGGAGAAAAATGAGATATATGCAAATTTATTCGTCAAACTATAATTTTTTGATAATATTTTGTTGGCTCCAAATGTATGAAATAAGTAAATAAAAACTCCAAGTACTAAATAAACTTTTGTGATATTTAAGCGGCATTTTTAAATTAACGTAAAAATATTTAACTTATTTTTGAAAAGAGCTGTTTGAATTTTTGATCAATTCAGAATGATATAGCTATTGCATCTTCAAAATTAAACACAACAGAAATTGTGATAAACAAAAATTATCTCATACATGTATCACGTGACTTTATAAAAAATTATGCCAAAAAAATTTTATTGAACATAATTTTAAAAGAAACATATAGTATGTGTATTTTTATCTGTTCTCAAGCTTACTTAAGCGCCAAAATCGTTTTTGAATTTCAATTATGACTTATTTACGTTAAATTTAAGGTATTACGTACCACGTGATTTTTATATATATATCATTTGGCAAATTGTCATCTTATATATATCACGTGTTATAAATAACTAATCATGATACTAAAATTTAAGTTTGCCTATTCGCAAAAACATATATTCCTATTCGCAACTTCATATGAAGATTTTAAAGACTTTTTTTAAAAAAAATAAATCTTTCAAATAAAGTTCAGGAGCGTGGCTTTCTAACCATATAAATCTTACCCTTTTATGTTAAATATTACAGAAATCTATATTGTACAGAAATTTGCGTTACTATTGCTATATAAATTTGCTGTCGATAAATATAAAATCTCACGTGATACGTAATACCTTAATCTGCAACATTATATATGATCTGCAAATAAAATTTACTTTTTTGGAAACCCGTGTTTGAAATACCCCGTGTACAAATAGAAATCGTCAAACAAATAAATATTTTAAATACTCGAAACACGGTACAGGTTTTCAATTTCTAAAAAAAATGGCAGAAAATTCTAAGATAAATAATTTAAAATACTATATTCATTGGTTGGATAATTCGATATCTGAGGAACATATCAAATATTATAAATATTCAGACTTTACAAATATTCAACAAATAGGAAAAGGAGCATACGGAATTGTTGTTCGTGCTAGTTGGAAAATTCTAGTCGTTTTTTCGCTATAAAATCTTTTAATAATGATGAGCATCATACTCTTAAGGAAGTTGTGAAAGAGGTAAATTTTAGTTGATTTATTAAAAAATATATATATTGAATAAATAAATATTCATACTCGTATTTTCCAAAGTTAAAATTGCATCGGAGTGTTGATGATCATGAAAATATTATAAGGTTATATGGAATCACAAAGATAGGTGAATATTAGAATTTACTATATAGATTGTAAAATTCATTCTTTTATTAATATAAAAAAAAAATAATAATTTACTTTTTTTTCAGATACAACTCATCAAATAAATGAGTATTATTCTTTAGTTTTGGAATATGCCAATGATGGTACATTAAATACTTACTTAAACAATCATTTCGATGGACTTGGTTGGAATGATAAATATCGTTTAGCGTTGCAATTGGCAAGTGCCGTAGAATTTTTGCATAAAAAAGAGATTATTCATCGTGACCTGGTAATTTAATTATAATTTATGTATTTTACCTAATTTACTAAATATATATATGATATATTAATATACTTTTTTTTCTTTTAATTAAAGCATGCAAACAATATACTTGTACATCAGAATAATATTAAATTAGCAGATTTTGGACTATCAAAAAAAATTGCTGAAGCATCGAGTAGTGCATCAAGAATACTTGGTGTAATACCTTATGTTGATCCAAAAAAATTCAATGATCAAAATAAAAATTATAAATTAAATGAAAAATCTGATGTATATAGTATTGGAGTTTTATTGTGGCAAATTTCAAGCGGGTGTGAACCATTTAAGAATAAAGGTTATGATTATGATGCAAGCTTAATGTTGTTCATATTAAAAGGTAAAAGAGAAGAAATGATTTATGGAACACCTGTTGAGTATAATAAATTATATACAGGTAATTTATAATTTAATATAATTTTTTCATAACAATTTTTAACTGATTATATATTAATTTATTTATTTCTAGAGTGCTGGAAATATGAACCAAATGAACGTCCAAACATGCAGGAAGTTGTTTCAGCTCTTAAAGCAATAATTTCTCCAAACCAAAATGATACATTTATTGATAATATTAATAAAAGGAAAGAACCCGAAAATTATAAATCAGTTTCAAATTTAAGTGATAGAACTACAGATCTAAACAATGATTTAATAAATGTCAAATCATTAAATATTGATGGATATGAAAGCGAGTTAAAGGCGAAATCTGAATATAACCCATCAAGTGCATCAAATAAAGCAGGATCATCGATGGACGATACATATTATTATAGAAATCAATCACTTCTCAAACCGGGAAAAGAAAATTTTACAAATAACGCTAATGAAAAGGAAAACTTGGAAAAATATAAGTCAACTTCGAAACTAAGTAAAGGAACTATAGATATAGTAGTAAATAATGATTTAATAAGTGTTCTTGGATCTTTAAATATTTATGATGAACACAAAAGCGAGATAAAAGTGGAGTTTGAAAATAGTTCATCAAGTACATCAAATCAAGCAATAGAACCATCAACAGAGGATGCGTGCGTTTATAACAACCAATTACTTTTCAAACTAGAAAATGAAGGATTTATTACACCGGACGAAAAAGTAAAAGAGCTTGTAAAGGAATTGACTGAACCGAAATTTTTATATGCTCTAAAATTACTTTTTGAAAATTTGAAGAATGATTTTTCATCCCAAGTCTTAGTAGGTTCATTAAAATCATTAACCAATCCTACTCTATTTGATTATTATTCAGAAGAAAATGTGGTGAGATTGGAATTACATTTACGAGTCTGGATAGCTGTTTTAGAGCGTATACAATTTTCAAATTCACCAATAGTCCTAAGTAAAGATCTTTTAGATAAAGTTTGCAATTCTCTGGCAAAATTTGTAGAAATTTATTATAAAACAATACAAGTTATTGATAAATCAAATCTCAATCAACAAAGGAATAAAATGTACAACTATAATATTGATTTTTTATTAATTTACTTGCAAGATATGCTATATAGTTTACGTGATGACATAACTTGGTTTAAAGAACTTATAAGAAGAATTAAAGATTTGTTAAAACCCATTTTAAATATTACACCATCGTCTCAAGCTTCTATTTCAGATGAAAATTATTCAATTGAGTCAATGATTGTACAATTACGCCAAGATTTAAGTTTTAAATATTCAGTACCATCCTATTATATTGATTGGAGAATTATGTTAATAATTCAGCATAATCTTTTTATTTGGTCTGAAGATTCTGAAAAAATAATTAGTAAAAAATATGCAGAAATGATATTAATAGAATATATTTGGAGCTTTTTAGAAAAAGAATGGACCAATGTTGCTGATAAATCTGTTTTAGATTTTCAAGCGATATTTGATATAGTATCAGATAAATTTGCAAAAACATTAAAGAATACTGGAAATTTCCTAAATGATTTTACAAGAAATGAACCTCTTGTATTACCACATACTTTGTGGTTTGGGCTATTAGATCTTGCACAAAATCTTATTCAAAAAACTACTCAAACATCCACATATGGTCTTTGTTATTATCTGGCAATTGAATCACTTAACAAAGCTCCAAGCAACTTCATTCAATTTAAAGTAATTGAAATGTTATTACATTTATATAATGTTGATGAACAGATGTTTTCAATAATTGAAGATGATTTTGATCAATATATACGAAAATTAAATGAAAATAAATCTGCAGATTTTTCAGAAAAATTCCAAAATTTATTAACTTTTGTTAAAGAAAAATATTTTGAAGATTCTAAAATTTTAAATGACAGTATAGGAAAAGGGGAAGAAAAAGGAAGAAGTTTAAATCAAAATAAATGTAACATTATAGATGTTATAGCAGATGAAATGACATGTCCAATTAGTAATGAACCAACAGATCAATTATGTATTTTAAAATGTCAACATATATTATCATTGAATAAATTAAAAAATTTAAAACAAAATAAATGTCCTATATGTAGAGAAAAACTTGAAAAAAATAATATTAGATATTTACCACAGAATACTGTTTATAAAAATTTGTATTTACAATTCTTTGAAGCTGGACATATTTTACCAACTATTGAATTAGAAAATTCAGAACAAATAACAAATGATCAATATGATAGTGATTCAGATAATTCAGAAGTCGATCTTATTTTGACAAAAAAGAAGAAATTTATGAAAGCAATTAAATTAAATTCAAATATATTATCATCAATATTTTCAAAAGTTTCAAGAAAACAACATCCAATATATAAAAGCATTATAAAAGAATTAAATGGAAAATATTATCGAAAAGCTGAATCATTGTGTAAAGAATATTTAGAACTTTTTCCTAAAAGTTATTCTGTAAGATGTATTTTAGCTTATATTTATAGATGTCTTAATAATTATGAACAAGCACATTTATATTTAGAAGAAGCTATTAAATTAAAACAAAAACAACCAATTGCATATTTTATTTATGGAGATATATTTTTTTGGGAAGGTGAATATGATAAAGCAATAAATAATTTAAATATATCATTAGAATATAAAGTCAAATCAATCATTAATTTGCCGCACATAATACTTGGAAATAGCTTTTTAAAAAAATCTCATTATGATAATGCTTTAAAGAATTATATTATTGCATTAAAAAATGATCCAAATAATAATTTGTGTCTTAAGAATTGTGCATACATTTTTGAAAAACAAGAAGATTATATAAATTGTTCAAAAATATTAGACAGACTATTAAATACTAATGATAAAGATTCATTAATTTTATGTTATTATGGGGAAATTCTTAAAAATTTAAGAAGGTATGATGAAGCAGTAACATATTTTACAAAAGCAAATAGTATAGATCCAGAAAATATTCATAATTTGAATAAAAGAGCTATTGCATATTTTGTTCTCCAAGAATATGAAAAAACTTTATTAGATCTTGATAAAGTTATACAATTGGATCCATCAAATAATTTAGCACACTATAATAGGGGCTTAACATATTATTCAATAGGAAATATTGAGAATGCTATAACTTCTTTTGAAAAATGTGTAGAATTAGACCCTGATGATAATTTATCAAAAATTCAGTTACATTACATGGAATATTTGCAAAAGAGAAATAGGTCTAAAGATTTAAAACATGATATTATAACAAAAATAGATCAAATTCTCGAAGATGATAAATCATTGTCTTTAATAGTATTTAAAATATATATTGATTTGTCTATTATGGACCCCAAAGAATATTTTACAAAATTTCTATCATTTTTATATGATAAATTATACAATAATGAAGACATTTCATTTTTGTATTTATTACAATCCATGAAATATTCAAATTTTTGGGCAGATTACTTGTCACACCTAAAGTGGTATGATAGTGATTTAACCAAACTTGGAATTTTTGATCCTTTTAGCAGTTTTTTATACGGAAGTAAGAGAATATTTAAATACATATTGATTATTATTTTTTTAAATTATTATTAATGCAATGTATTATTTTAGTGATGAGAATTTATTTTATTACAAACTTTATAAATTTGAACAATGAATTTCAGCAGTATCAAGTAAATGATACAAATAGGTAAGGTTGGTTTATACATATTGATTTATTAAATAGTTACATAAATTACTAATTTTATTTTAAAAACATTAAAAGTCTATCAGGACAGGTTTTGTCTTTTGATGGTAAAACATTTACTAGTTTTAGTTTACCCGAACTTCATGCTTATCGGCGTTGTGTTATTTGGAAAATAAATGTTAAAAAGATACTATCTAAAGATTGCTTTATAAAACTTATAATTAAATATGAAATAGTAAGTTAATTAACTATAAATACTAATTTTCTTTTCTTAGACATATTTTAGTTAATGCATTTTATTATAATAGGATTCAACGTTTATGCAGGATGAACATGTTTTAAAATTTGAAGATGTGTTAAAACTTGAAGGATTAGGCTGGATTGAACACTATTCTTTTAAAATACCTAAAACCACCTATAAAATACAAAGAATACAACCTTCAATTGAAGTAAATGGTCTTAATATGGTACAGTATACTACTTTTATCGTTCTTATTCAAATAATAATTGGTCTGATCTTGTATTATTACATATTGTTTAGCAAGTAGATTATATTAGATTCACATCTGATGAATCTAGAAAAGATAAACAAATTTACTTTCCCAAAATAGGTCATTTATTACCAATTCATAAAGTTTGCCCAAATGTTCCAGAAGCTTTTAAGGACAAGTATTTTTCAAGAAAGGAGATGGAAAACCTGCTTGAATTAAAAGATATAATTGATAACTTATGATTATTTGTATATTATTTATTATAAATAATTAATTTTATTACTAAACATACTTTATTTGATATTTTCTTATAAAATATAATCTTATTCATGATGCGTAAATATATAAACACGGAAAGCCTACTCTTCATGTCATATTATATTTTTTCTATTATTCATTAATTACCAAATTCTTTTCTATTCCTATTCATTAAACATTAAAATTTGTGAAAAAAAACACTTTGAAACGCTCCGTAAGTTTGTAGTGAAATATTTTTCCGCTCTACTTGTTACGTTAAAAATTATAATTTCTCCTGATAAATTTCAAAGGAATTTCATATTTTTGTTTCGTCAATTGTAAACTGCAACATAAGTAATATAGCGCAAAAAAATTATTTTTAAGATTTAAAAGATTTATAAATTGTAAGATCATATCTTTTTAATTGATTTTATGATGTGCTATAATTGAGATATGAGATATCTTTATTATAATATATATGTTATACTTTATAAATATAGGACAAATAAATAATTATGAAATTAAGTTGAATTTACAAAATATACCATCATGTTACATCCCTGTAAAAAATCTAATACGTGTTTTATCTTTCCATTTTTTTTCCGTGAATGTATCATTTTCATGGAATTTATAGCCTTAAAACATGGAAATTTTCATCTCGCTAACACTGATATCCGTGAATGTATCATTTTAACGGAATTTTTACGGAAGACACGGAGAAATAATGGAAATATTCGGATAAAAATTTATTATAGGGGCATTGAAGTCTTACAATCTTTTGATATAAACAAAAACAACAGGTATTACTATTCTGCATTCCAAAATATAATTGCAAATATACAAATTAGTAAAACTGAAGATACAAATGCTGAACATAACAATTTTGAAATGATCCGGCAACCCGGCTTTTAATTTTTTTCAAAAAATTTTATATGTAAAATTTTTATATTATTATTATACGAGTAAGATTTTTCAAGAGATTTTTTAAGAAATTTAACAAAAACTGACCCGACCGTGATGTGAGAAACGAAAAATTAAGTTTGTATGGTCTAATGTATAAAATTCTATTACTCATCATCACTAATAATATAAAAGTATAAATTGTCACGTAAATCACATGATAGTAAATCATGTGATGTTTGGTTTCGGTACTCTGCGGAATTTTACAAAGAACTAAATTACCGTTGCGAAAGTGTTCTTATTGTATTATAACAATTTATAAATATAAATTTTTATTATTTTATTTATTAAAGAATATATTTAAATTTTATTAAAAGCTTATAAATCTCATTGTACACAATTTTTATTAAACTCAATAAAATGTATTTCTAGTCTTATTGATCGTTCATATTCTTCTATTTGACAAATCATTTGCACCCATTTTTTTCTTTGAGGTCTAAACAACAATGAGTCTAAAATAAAGAAAATTATTTATTTATTATATTAGTTTTAGTCAACCAGTTGAAAAATAAATCTCTTACTTCATCTAATAATGTCTTAAACTTAATTTTCATAGTTTCGCAACACAATTCACAATCATTATCAATGCTTCTGTCTTCATCAACTTTATCTTGCCATAAATAATAAAAAATCATGCAAATCTAAGAATCAAAGAGAAGCATGACTACTTAGACCATTCGATCATAGGAATACTGCGGCGACCAATAGGAATTAATGCTACTAATAACGATTTTCAATATTGGATGTCTCATGAAAATATGAAAATCGCATTAAAATCCCGCATATTCCTAATCAACTGAACAATAACTGATATTACAAATTTATGCAAAGTATTGGTTATAACAAATTTAATACCACTTAATTTACTTAATTACAGACATTTCTGAATACGGTATAAGGCTCAGTACAGGAACATCCCTTAAGGCAGGTATCAACCACCAGACAGAGTTTATATCCGTCCATCCGGATATCCTAAATTATTCGGATATCCAATTATTTTTGTAAACTAATTCAGGCCCACATTTATAATTCTGACCAGAATTACGACCTGGTAAGATGACATTTCCATTTTTGGCGATAGCCGTTCACAAAAATTTCCTTTTTAAGAGGTTGTAGGAATTATTTTTAGCGTAATTCTGGCCGGCATTATAAAATTGATCCGAGTTACTGTTAACGGATAATATCCGGATATCCAAAATTCTGTATTCGTTCAATCTGGATATCCGAATATCTGCAGATATCCATTTATTAACCGGTCAGATCTAGAATTGAACAGGGCTATTATTGGAGTTCATATCCGTTATCCGTATTGATCGCTGGTTACTGATGCGGTCAGACCGGTCAGTGGTCAGTCAAGCCGATCTACAAAAATTGGTTTTCCTGATCGATTTTATAATAAACATAATAAACACCACATCTACACATCTACTATTAAGTCTATTATGGATATATAGCCAATCCGATCAATCAAAAATTGTGCTCAATTGTAACTATGATCTGATTGGTTATACATTTTTCGGTCAATCCGATACGAACTTATGATTTACTGCGTATCAATAAAATAATGATCGGTGGCTTGTGCCCTGTCTCTATAATTATAAGTTGTTAAAGGTTAAACATAATTAATTACCACGATGAATAATAAAGTGAAAACGACATTGTAAAAACTTATTACCTTATTATGGCATCTACGGTCCGGTTATAAACCCAATTAGTAACAGTGCCGATCATATATCCGTGAGGTACCTGTTAGAATTTGTTCACGTCATTACAAAATTAAGATTTGAAACATTGACTAATAAAATTTTATTGGTGTTAACAATGAAAACCTATTAACAAGTAAGCCATTAAAGTGCCATATTTATATTCTTGAAAACTATTTTTTCAAACTAATTTTTATTACCTTTCGCATTTTACTCGTACCACGTATTTTTTTTTTTCCGAGGTTATTAGAGGTAGGTATGTATGGAGGTGTAAATATGTAGCTTTTTTTAAAATAAAAATTCATACCGTTTTTTTACATTAATGATTATAATTGGATCTTGCTAAATATGCAGGTAATCGTAAATTTTGTGTATGTAATGTATATGAGCGTATATAGTGCGTATATATGATAATAAAGTACTGTACATGCCTGAAGTGGTTATGTTAGGTAGGTATAAATCCATTCATTTATTCTCACTAAAAATGATCCACAATTTTCTTATTACGATACATGTAGTAATTTATTTCATGAGGAGTTGGGAATAATAGGGTTTTTTCCCTTCGGGAAAAAACCCTAATGTTCCCTTTCCCATGAAATAAATGGGTAATCAACTGGAGCGTGTCACTCATTAAATATTAACTATTTTAATCTTTTAAACTATTTAACTAAAATTAGTAATTTTACATCACTCGCAATTTTAAAAATTAGTTGACACTTAGTGCGACAGGGGACTATATGTCTTTGCTTTCAATATTTTAATCCTACTTGGATTTAATAGTACTACGATCTATTAATAAAAAATTTGGTTAGTTTACTGCGTGTCATTTATCAAAGAAATTCAAACGTTTTATTTATTAAATTTTTTGAATTTTATAATGGATGAACATATTACCGTAAAATTCAATACATTAAATGAATTTTATTTTTTTTTATTTCTGATAAAACTTCTTGAATCACATGAACTACCACCAATCATAATCTTCGAGTTTTGGGAACATGTGACTGAAATTGTTATATCTCTGGCCCGCATTAGATAACTCTGACCAGAATTGGAGTTAAACGATTTTAGCCCATATTATTTGTAATAAATTTTACAGTTAGTGCCTAGTGGTATACCTATTAACATGTATTATAACTCTAGGCGCAAGAGTACAACATGATGTTCCAATATTAAGCTCAAGAATTGTCATACAGTTCATCGTATCTACGATAGATATCGCTATTGAAAATGTATTATGTAAACACGTTGGCTAATTTATTATGATATGTTAAATTTTATTTTGTTAAGAATGTATTAAGTTTTTATTTATCACACAATCACACAAGGTGTATGCATCTCGATTCTCGAATGCATCCCCTAAAGAATTTTAAGAATTATATATATAAATATGTGTAATTTAGGACGAAGCCGTTTTAGTCGGAAATGTTATTATTATAAAACTTTTTTTAAGTTGTGATGATGTACTTACTTATATTATGCTGTGATCAAGATGATTGAGTGAATCGGGTCATTATTGTCAGATTTGAAACAAACTATCAGAATTTTTTGTTTTCAATATCTTTCACCCGAAAGCAGATGCTTTCACCGATTTTTTTGTTTTCAATATCTTCACCTGAAAGCGGATGTTTTCACCGATTTTTTTGTTTTCAAGCTACTGTAAGAAGATAATAAAAAAAAAATCAGTATAATTTCTTAATCAGATGGGGTGATTTAGGATTTTAGGACAGTTTCGATTTAAAGACTTTTTTTTTTTTTTTTTTGATATATAAGATTATTTTATTGTATATGTATTATTTATTGACACACTTGGAGATTTCCTGAGTTCGGACATTCTATTGCCTATAATATCTAGTCATTTTGTTATTTTAAAATTCCTTCCAAATAACTGGTATTACTATTTAGAGTGGTGTTTTTTTACATTAACTTTTTTTAAAAAGCGAGATGCAACCATACGGTTTCGGAATCACTGCACGTCTCCCTTAAAGTGTTTTGTCATAAAGTTCGTAAATAAAAATATGTATGCGAATATGATATTTTGGTTGAATTATCTTGTAAAGATAATCGTAAAGAGATCATGAATTAAAGTTTATTTTATTGGTAACTCGGAGATTTATTACATTAGCTGTTTGAGTTACATGATATCCTTCGAGGTTTCAGAACAATAATATGATATCCTATAAGAACTTCAACCCATATTAGCTGTTCGAGTAACCTGATAATGAACAGTACGCCTACATGATATCTTTCAGGATTTCGGAACAATAATATGATATCCTATAAGAACTTAAAACCATATTAACCGTTCGAGTTGCCTGATAATGAACAGTACGCCTACATGATATCCTTCAGGATTTTAGTCCAATATGATGATCCTATTTTCAGAACTTAAACCCATATTAGCCGTTCGAGTTGCTGAATGGTACGCCCACATCAAGATTTCAGACCTATTTAATATCAAAACTTGTATTAATTATGTACGCGGAACTTTCAATATTTTTTAAAACTTTACAAATGATGTTAGGGGAAAACAAATATAATTTGTAATAAATAAAAGTAACTTGTACAATATAAGTTAGAGGGACAAGGGAACACAAAAAAAAAAAAAAATACTTTTTCATATTTTAAACGAAGTGATAAAAAAATATTTCATGTTTACTTTTTAATTCGGATGACATGATCATTTTACGTCATCTGTAACACAATGCTACTACATGATAATAATGCAACAACAAAGAAACCTTTCGATTATTGCATTCTTAATGAAACGGTGGCTTTGTTTGCAATAATCAAATAAATCGTCATTCTAAATAATTTTATCGAATAATGTACAAAATTCCACATACTTTCATTTACTTTCATTTACTTTCATTTTAAAAATTGGTTTGATCGTGCTCTTAAAAGAATCAATCAAAAGTTGAAATGGAAATAAATGAACTAAACAAATAATAGTAATAAAAGAAAAAAAAAATAAATAAATAAAAAATAATAATAATAATAATAATAATAATAATTAAATTTTTTTTTTTAATAAATTATTAATAAATTATTAATTATTAAATTTTTTTTTCTTTTCAAAGCGGGAAATAACTTAATAATAAGAAAAAATGGGAATAACTTGATAAAAAAAATCATTATAACTCATTGTAACAATAAAAAAAAATATTATAGAAATTATTTTAAGAAAATTCTTTTTTAATAAAAAAATTTTCCGTTCACATATAAATTTTTTTTTTCGTCAATCATTTTTTTTAGAGTTTGACATAAAATGAATATTTCTTCCGAGAAAAAAAAAAAAAAAAATATTTGGTTTTTTTTATCTCTGACAAGTTTACGGGTGAAATCCGCTTTGATATGTACTTTATGCATTTGTACACAAATAAACAAAGCATATATTTTTTATTATAAATTTACTTTAAAATAAAAACGGATATACAAATGTTTTTCCGATAAAGTAATTTCGGTTTTTTTTTTAAAATTTGCAGTACAAGTATAACAAACACGTTTCAAACGAGAAAATCAACGAATTACAATATGACATTATTATCCCCTCCAATAATTTTATTTTAATAAATCCCAGGTAAATTTAAATGCAAAGATCATTAAAATAATTAAAATAATTTAAAGGGGGAATCAGGAATGATTTAAATAATTACGAAATGTTATATCATGATTTATAGATATTACGAAATATAAATATAAACAAAAAGTACAATTGTTTTAAGTGGGAGAACAAAGATACATATATATTTATGTTGTGAATATCATGATTATTATTATAATAAATTCAAAGAATTATTACTCATTATATTACACGCTTTTTTTCTTTTACTATTTTGTTCAAGAAGGAAAAAAGATTTATCATTGTTATCAGATCATAATTATTTGAAATATTTGTTTACATTCATTTACATCACTCCTTTTTTTCCCAAATGTGTAACTTTATTTGGAAAGAAAACAATACGGAAAATATTAAAAAAAAAAATATTAAATTAGATTATCATATCAAATACCGACTTTTAAAAATATATTTATATATATATTTATATATATACAACATGGTACGAAAGAAATGTGATAGATGTTGTAATATATAATAAATTATTATAAAAATATTATAAATATTGTACACTGCATTGTTATTATTTTATTTAAGCATGTCACGAGGAAAAGTTGAAAGGTTGCACAAGCCATATTGACAAGTTAGGTTCTTTCTTCTTTTGTTTTGATAACATTTATTCATTGTAAAATTATTATAAATTATCATTATTATAATCAATGTCATGTCGGTTAATTTATCATTTGTTTTGATAGAATTTCAAGATAAGAAAATTTTCATGTACTAGAAAGAAACTCTATTATATTTTTATTTACCGAAAAAGTAAAAAAGCAGGATGGATAAGTTTTATATTATTATTAAGCCATTTTTTTTTAATTGGTTAGTGTATCATTCTATTTGTTTCCACCATTCAAAACAATTTTTTTTTTTTTAAATAAAAAAAAAATAAAAA